TTTTTTTTTTTTTTTTTTTGAGTCAGTGTCTCACTCTGGCCCAGGCTGGAGTGTAGTGGCATGCTCATGGCCACCACGGGCTGACCTGCTGGACTCAGGCAATCCTTCAGCCACAGCCTTCCATGTAGCTGGAACTACAGGCACGCACCACCACATCCGGCTCATTTTTTGATTTAATGTAGAGATGAGGTCTCGCCACGTTACCCAGGCTGGTCTAGAACCCCTGGGCTCAGGTCTTCTCCCAAAGTGCTGAGGTTACAGGTGTGAGCCACAGCGCCCTGGGGGGGGGCAGCTTAATAAGTAGACATATCAGATAGATGTTACCCAGGCAGAAAGTGACATCTTTGTAGCAAGATGTTTATCCTGGTGTGTGGAGCCAGATCCCAGGGAGTACTTACTCTCCCTGGGGAGGGGCTGGCACACACCCGGCTGAGGAGTCTGGGTGGAGCATGACTGTGGTTCCTCGGTGTTCTTGTGCCCATAGGCATCTACACCAGTAACAAGGACCCCATCTCCCATGGTGGCGGAATGCGGGCTGTCTGCAGTACTCCCCTCTCCTCCAGCCTGCTGGGGCCCCCAGGGACCTCAGCCCTGCCCCGCCTCAGCCGCTCCCCGTTCACCAGCACCCTCCCCTCCTCTTCTGCTTCTATCTCCACCACTCAGGTGAGACCTTATTGCTGGGCTCCTTCCCCAGCAGGAGGGGGGGCAGGCTGGGGACAAACTGCAGAGGACCCCAGCCCCGCATGGGAATTGGGACCGGGCTTGATTGCCACCAGCAACCCCATCCTCTGCTCCCAGCATGCCTCATCCCTACTCCCCAGTACACACGGTTGTGCCCTAGATCCCAGAATAACTGCCAGGCTGGATTCCGCCTCCTTTCCCTCAGGTGTTTTCTCTGGCTGGCTCTACCTTCAGCCTCCCTTCTACCCACATCTTTGGAACCCCCGTGGGTGCCGTTAACCCCCTCCTCACCCAGGCTGAGAGCAGCCACACAGGTACGTGAGTCTCTGACCCTCTTCCTCTTTCTTCCCAAAGGCCCGAGTGACACCCAAGTGACACCCGTCACCTGCATGTGACCCAGAAAGGATGGGAGGGCTTTCCGGCTGCCCCCTCCCTCTGATCATTGCCCTCCCTGAAAAAAAAATCCTGCCCGATGGCTCACACCTGTAGTCCCAGCTGCTTGGGAGGTTGAGGCCGGAGACCAGCCTGGGCAACACAGGGAGACTGTCTTTAAAACAAACCAGGATGCACTTAAAACCCAGTGAGGGCAGAGCAGAGTTACTGCTCCATTTCACTGAGGGAAAAGGGAGAGAAGAGACTTGCTCCAGGCAGTTGAGGTAGGGAGTGGTAGAGCCAGAGCCCCTGACCCCAAGCCCACGTGCTTGTACCGCTGCAGCGTAATCCCCTGGCCTCTTAGTAGTCCTTGGGATCTGCATTCACTGAGGTCCCAGCCGCTGGGCGGCCTTTCCGGGTATTGAGGAGTTAAGAGGGCGGGCCACAAGCTCCCCGCCCTCTCCCTGGAGAGTCAGCCCAGCCCCAGAGAGATGATTGGTGCAGAGCGACCGCCTGTCAGGCCGGGGGGCGGGGCTTTCCCCCAGACTGCCGGTCCAGGTAAGCTCTTAAAACGTCCGGATTGGACTATAGGACTCCAGGTTTAAGCCGCGACGGAGCAAGGTGATTCCGTTTTCTAAAACCCCAGCTGGGTGAGTGAATTGCCTGAACCCGCGGGTTCGAGGCCCGCCTGGGCAACTTGGCGAGACCTCATCTCCACAATAAATCAAAAATCAGCCGGGCGTGGTAGCGCGCGCCCTTAGTTCCAGCTACTTGGAAGGCAGAGGCGGAAGGATCGCCAGAGCCCAGCGGCTCGAGGCTGCGGTCGGGAGCGGCCACTGCACTCCAGTCTGGGTGACAGAGTGAGACTCCAACTCAAATAAATAAATAAAATAAAACCCCAGTTGGGATTGTGTGGCCAAACAAAGATTTTTGCCTCCTGACTTGGGAGCTGATATGTAAAATGTTATACAAAGCTAATTTTTTTTCTTTTTCCGAGTTGGAGTCTCACTCTGTCGCCCAGACTGGAGTGCAGTGGCC